GGTGCTGGGGACCAAATCCAGGTCCTTATGCTTGTGTGGCAAGGGTTTCACAGACTGAGCCTTCCCACAGCCCTCCTTTTCTAGACTTAAATTCTTTCTAACAAATTTTTAAAGATACGTGTGCGTACCTATATGAGTTTAAGTGCATTCTGTGTGTAGGAGCTGAACTGGGGAGGTCAGAGGGCAGCAGGTCCCCTGAATGGGGATCATGGGTGGTTGTGAGTCACCTGGTATGGATGCTGGGACTAAACCTGGGTGTTAGGCGAGAGCAATGAATGCTCCTTTTTGTTTGTTCTGAGATAGCATCTCACTAACTAGCCCTGGCCATCCTGGAACTCCCTCTGTAGACCAGGCTGACCTCAAACAGAGAGATCCAACTCTCAAGTACTGGAATTAAAGGTGTGTGGCACCCCACCCAGCCTCAGGGAGTGCTTTTAATTGTTCGGCCATCTCTCAAGTCTCTTTTACTTTTTAAGAGACCTTTTCTAAGGTAGGGCTTTTATGAAAATGTCAAAAAACGAAGTAAAGCAGGAATGCTCGAGCTGAAACTGAATGCCAGCTTTACCTGTTATTCCCAATCTTGGGAGCCCCAGAGTTTTGAATCCATAACCATACTCATTTTTGTAATTAACTTTCTTTTAATCAAACTTTATCCATATTAAATCACAATTCTTTGAGGCCATTTACAGGATATCCAATCTTATCAGCTTGTCAGCTCAGTTTATTCAGTACTGTATGATAGTAAAGCATAAATTTGGATCCTACCTGATGGTGTTTATATTTGTATCTAGTCCTCATTAGAACTGTGCCTTTAAAAAGTGATTCCATTTACAAGAGACTACAGTTCTTCCTGGCAGCTCCCTGGAGTATATTTTCAGGTCCTCTTAAGATGAGGGTTCCTTCCTATAGTGGCGAGATTGCACTACTATTTTAATAGATTATACACTTTTAAAAGAAGTTGCTTTTCAATTAATACTTCAGATATTGAATAATTAAAAGGAACTGTGTTTTGTTTTGAGACAGTGTCTCATTGTGAAGTCCTCCCTGGCCTGGAACTTGCTAGGGTGAAGAGGCTGGCCTCAAATTCTCAGAATCCCATCCTCCTGCCTCTGTCCCTTTGAGTACTTGGATTAGAGCTTTTTATCACCTCTCCCCATCCTCGTTGGGAAAAGCGCTTTTCTTTACTTAAGAGAAAATTTCTGGTCCATTTATAAACTGTAAGAGCACAAATTTAAGACAGTAATAAATTAGGCAATTTTATTTGCTTTTGGTCCTGTACTTCTGTACGGACATATCTATAATCTATAAATGTTTGTTGCCAAGTTTCACATACACGTTAGGTGTGACCTCCCAATTCTTTTAAACAATGTCTTTAAAGGATATTAATTGGAGTTACTAGTCCTTGCTCAAGCAGTTTTGTCTGTGAGTAGCAATTCTCCAAGAGTCCACAGGGCGGCAGGAGATACCGTGTCCCACAGATGTCTGTGGCTGGGTGTATGTCTGAAACTCTGGCCCTAATATGAAGGCTATCAAGGACAAGCCCTAACCAGGCTCTTTCATGTCAAGGGCTGGGTTGGAAGTGGGGGAGCTCCCTTTTTCTGAATACAAGGGAAGAGAGAATGGGGTGGAGAGAATGGGAGGAAGGGACCCGGAGGCTAGGAGGGAGGGAGCTATGATCACGATGTAAATACATAAATTAAAAAAAAAATTAAATAAGAGGGAAAAAAAGGAAACACTCACAGTTTCAAAGTGTTTCTCCCAGAAGAAACTGCCAAAGAAATATTAGAGGATCTAAGAATAGGCTGGAAATGTAAACTTTCATAGCAGTACTTCAAAGTTGAAAACCTAAAATCTGTTAATAGTTGTTCCTTGTGTCTTTACTGTCACAACACACACACATACACAAGCACACACACATGAGAGAGAGAGAAAGAGAGAGAGAGAATTGAAGCAATGGCTTTATTGAAACCTTGAATCCTTGTTAACACTGGGGAGGATTTCTGTTTAAAACATACTTAGAAGGGAAGTTTTAGCTACAGGAAATGTTGGGTTAGGAGTCTGAATGGTTTGGCTTCTAGCTATATTTCTGACTTGCTTGTGACCTCCAGCCCTCTGTGTTGATTTGTCAGTGTGTTTTCTCACCTATAAAATGATCAGATAGCCTTCCTCCCCCTTTTTTGGCAAGGAAAACTTTCTTTACACAACTCCAAGGCTGGTAACAATGAAAAAGAATAATATCTGCCCTAGGGCAGTCCTGAAGACAAGAGCTCACATCCTTTGTAGTTTCTGTCTTTTGCCTTTCCAGGCAACCATCTAGTCTGTTGAATGGTTGTAAGCCATAGGCAATGGGATCACTGCCTTGTTTCCTGTTTACTGATAACACCCAGCAGATAACTGCTGTGGGCAAAATGAGGGGAGATGAAGGCCTCCTCACAAGCAGGAAACATGGTACTAGAAAAGGAGGCTCCAAAGCCATGACTCATCACTAAGCGCAGCTGCGGCTGGCTGTGTAGTAGGAATGAAAATAGTGATAACACAAAGCACAAAGGTTAGTTTCCTAGAGGGACAGGATTGACCAGACCACAGGAGGATTCCTCTCCTGGATGTCATTTGATGAGGGGAAGAGAAAGGCAGGAGAGGAAGATATCTTGAAGGCAGTTGCTTTGGTCTCCGACGTTATGAGACAAGGGCATCATCTCTGGATGGTAGTAATATGAGAAAGAAATGAAGACGCATGAGCAGGTCTTCTTGTAGCAGTGGCCAAATGTCTTCTAAGAATTGTTCAAACTTTCCATTCTCCTCCTTTCTTATGCTCAAGGTGGTAAATGAGCATAAGTCAACTAAAGCCCAGAAAGGGGAAGGAAGAAGCTAGTCAAAAACAGGTCATGGACTGGCAATCATGAAACCAAGTGGCCCTCATGGACATACAATGAGTTGGAGTATAATGGGGTTCCCTGGAGATCAAGAGGAAAGCAGCCACTCTCAGTAACCTAGCAATTAGGGCCGGGGACGCTGCAGTAGGATGATCGTGGGCCTCAGTTTCTTCCTCTCTAAAATGGAGACAATCTTGTCTCCAGTTGTCATAGAGCCACGCCTGAAATGGCAGGTGTCCAGAGTGAGAGGAATGCCTGACCTCATACCTTAAGGAACTCAGAGTAAAGGAGAGAGGGGAATAAAGCTGCCTTTCCCAGTATTCTACTTGGCTTGCAGGGTCCCACAGAAGACCAAAAAAACCGGCCCTAATTGCCACTGAGCGTGCCTGCTTTCCTCTTGATCTCCAGGGATCAAGAGGAAAGTTATACTCCAACTCTTTGTATGTCCATCAGGGCCACTTGGTTTCTTCCTCTTTCTGGGGTTTAGCTGACTTATGATCACTTACCGCCTTGAGCATAAGAAAGGAGGAGAACGGCAATTTTGAACAATTCTTAGCAGAATTGTTCAAGAAGACCTGCTCCTCCTCGTGTGCCTTCATGAGCCACTTCAGATCAAACCACCAAGGCAGGAGATAGGGGATGGCGGAGCCACTCCTCCCTGGGTCTACCCTTGGCTGAGTGGCATTAGAAGAGTCAGTTATCTTCTCCCCACCCACCCCCACACCCAAACACTTTTTTTTTTTAATCCGCGAAAAGTGGAATGATTCCAGGAGGACATTTACAGTTGGTGCTTGAGTACCCAGTCAACACTCTGGACAACTTCTGTACCTCTGTCTAGAACACCCTGAGAGAGAAGCAACCCTTTAGCGCCTAAGCTAGCATCTTCCAGGCTCCGGGAACCCGCGGGACGGTGGGCGTGGAAGACACAGGGAATCTGGGGACAGATAAAGGAAACTCGTGATGGGGCGAGGCTGAGCTGAAGAGAAACAGATTGGGGTAGAGCAGCGCAGGGTGGGGTCTGGTGGAAGGGTCGGGGGAGAAAGGGTGGAAAACAGAGAGTCCAGAGGCCATAACCCGAGAAGAAATGCAGGCCGGGGTGGGGGCGGGGGCGGGACGAGCGCCGGGGAAGAAGTACCGAAGCCGGGTGAGAAGGAACTTGGGGAAGGAGGAAGACCTGCAGACAATAGGAATGAGAGAGGAAAGGGGAAGTGCGGGCGCAGAAGGAGAGGGAGGCAAGACCCCAAGGGGCCGGAGAAGCCGGGGACCACAGGAAAGAGAGAAACGAAGCAGCTGGAGCGAGCGCCCGAGGTTGAGGTCTGCGAGTGCAGAGCTGGGAGCCTGCAGCGGGGGAGCTCAGCCGCTCCGAGCAGAGCGCGGGTCCAGACTCTCAAGACTGGTGGCCTCCGCCTGACCTCGAAGGTCGGGCACAGACGCGGATCTGGGTGGAAAGCTGCATCCTAGCGAGAGAGAATGGGGGCCGCGGAGGACCGGCCCGTGCGCCTGGCTGCCCGGGCTCACGGCTGAGCCCCGGGGGGAGGAGGAGAGGAGGTACCAGCGCGGGGAGGCAGCGCGCAGCAGCCTGCGGCAGGAGCTGCCCGCTCCGCAGCAACTCCGGCTACCGAGAAAGTGCGGGCGGCTGGCGGGGCCGCGGAGGACTGGCCTCTCCGCCCTCGCCCGCCCGCCCCGGGCGCGGGGTGCGAGCCCTCGCTCCCCAGCCCAGCGCTCGCATCCCGCCCCCCCACCCCGGCCGCCGGGCGCTCGCAGCTCTGGTCCCGCACGCGTCCCGCGGGGGTGGAGGTGGGGGCGCTGAGCCTCGCCGCCCCCTACCCCAGCCCCCTTCCGCCCCCCCCCCCCCCCCCCCCCCCCGCCCGCACCGCCCGCCGCCTCCCCCTCCCCGCCGCGCCACTCTCCCTCCCCTCTCCCGTCCCCCCCTCCCGACGAGGGGCGGGAGGGGGCGTGGCAGGGCCTGGGTTTGGGTAGCTGCTACCCGGCTCCCCGCACTCGGAGTCTGCCGGAGGGAGCACCGCGGCCCCCGCCGCTGTCCAGCCCGCTCCGTGGCCTTTCGCGCCCGGCGCAGCTGCCGCTGTCGCCTCCGCCTCTCGGAGGAACTCGGCTCCTCGTCTCGCCATGGACACTCCTAGGGTCCTGCTCTGGGCGATCTTCCTCATCAGCTTCCTCTGGGATTTGCCGGGTTTCCAGCAGGCTTCCATCTCCTCGTCCTCCTCCGCCGAACTGGACTCCGCCAAGGACGTGAGGAGCCGCAGAGAGGGGAAGATGCCGCGGACTCCACGAGACAGCGCCGAGGGCCGGACGCCCCAGGAGCACCAGCCGCCTGGACCATCTCAGGGGCAGGAGCCGCCGGGCAGGGGACTGCGCGTGGTGCCTCACGAGTACATGCTGTCCATCTACAGGACTTACTCCATTGCCGAGAAGCTGGGCATCAACGCCAGCTTTTTTCAGTCTTCCAAGTCCGCTAACACCATCACTAGCTTTGTAGACAGAGGACTAGGTAAGTGGGGGTGAAAGCGCCCGCTGGAGCCTCTCAGCTAGAGCGCTGCCCGGGCTCTGGCAGGAGGCTGTTTTTGTGAATTCCCTTCCCATTCTGGACACCTCTCCTCCTCCTCCTTTTTTTTTTTTTTTCTTTTCTCGAGCCCCAAATTCTAACCCTCCCCTACTTTCTCCCTTTTCCTTCCTTGTTTTCTCCTCTTTTGTGGAAAGCATCGTGGTGGTCAGTGGTCTGGTAACCGGAGGAAGAGAAGTGGTGGGAGATGGAGACGGGTCAGAGAAAGAACTGAGGACTGAGGGACCCTGTGGCCTAAGCTTGTGGGGGCTGCCGGCCCTAGATCACCTGTGAGGGCTTCGGAGCCTCTGTCTCTCGAGGAAAAGCCAGCATAAAGTAGGAGGTCGAGGCGGCGTCTAGGATCAGTGTCAGGCTCGCCTTGATTCAGCGGTCCTGTGGATTCTCCTGGAGCCCTGCGCAGGGCGTGGGGGACGTCAGCCAGGTGGGCACCCGGTGCCTTCTGAGACCGTTCCCTCCTCTCTTTTTCTCTAGCATCGCAGATCTGATAGTTCTCAAGCCGCAGTCCAAGGGATGGGCAGAAACAGGGACGCTAAAAGTGCGCGGATGTTGGGCCTCAAAGTTCTCAGCCATAGCCTCTCCTCTCTCTGACTATTCTAGAGGACCCGACCCTCATCGCCTGGGCCAGAGAGGATGCTAGGGCGTCCTCAGGATTCTGAGCTTCCCCCTCTTGCTGTCCTCCTTGATCCCCAGCATGGTCAATGTCAGATATCCAGGAAAGTTCTCCCGCCTTCTAGAGAGAAAAAATATTCAGACAAAAAGCAGGAAAGGAGGAGAGAGAACAGAAAGGATGGTGGGTGGAGAGGGAGATGTAGAGAAGGTAGAGGCTGCTAAGGCAGCCGTCCACTCCGCACACTCCCAGACTTAGCTCCCACCGGTATGTTCAGGTTCACTGAAAGTGCCCAGAAACCCAAGAGTCCCCGGGACTGGGCAGAGGGAAGTGCTCAGCTAAGTCTACCTACCTCGGTTTTCCACAGTGTCCCCCTCCCCCACCCGCCCCAAGTCCAAGTCCGATTCAGTCTCCAGCCTCGGGTGGACGTTGCCTTTCTTCTCAGCCAAGGTTCTGGCCCAGCCAGGTACGCCCCTGCAACCCGAGGTCAGCTGGGTTACGAGCTGATGAAAGGTCCCGGCGGCAAATTAACGCCGCCGTATTTTATGATGATTTTAGGAACAGTAAAGTCACCTTCACGAAGACACGTGGCTTCTTCGCCTTGATTGCTGCTGCTAGGTCTTGGACCCAGGTACTCCAACGCAGCGCCAACTTCTCCCTACCGCCTTGCATCGCAGTTTCTCTCCCTGCAACTTTTCTGTTCACCTCCTAGCGTCTCTGATACCGTCGCCAAAGGAGAGGTGATGGAAGGTCAGAGAATAGTGCTCCAAGGGAAGAAATCCTAGAGGCCTAGGCTGGCAGGCGATTGGGTACTCTTTTCTTTTCCTGGGAAGTGACAAGCTCTCCCGGGTGTGGGTGTCCCAGTCAGACGCCCTCATTGGCTCACTACTCCCTAAGGGTTGGCACAGGACCAAGAAACATTGTGGGCCATTCGTTCCAAGGTATCTATAGAGGACTTTGAAATTTAGGGAAGCGTGAGAAGCTTCCTACCCCACCCCCCAACCTTGCATAGCACCCGCCCTTCAGCCCTAGTTTGCTCTGCAGCGCCCACACACCGTGAAGCCCAGGCATCGAGGTAGGAGCCTCCAGGCTCCTCGAGCACAGGATAGGATGGGGTTTGGAGTAGGGTGGAGGAACCCTATTCCCTCCCTCGTCCTGGTCAGGATGCCAGCAGGACTGTGGATTTGATCTCAGAATGTGTTGGGGAGGGGGCTGCCAGACCCTGTCTCTTCCTCACCCTCCAAGGTGGAAGAAAACTGTAAGGGGGCTGCTGGGACACTTGGAAGGCTGTGATGCTAGCCTCAAGCCGCGCGCGGGTGTAAAGGAGCTCGGAGGAGGCGGGTGCGCAGTGGGTCTGGAGGGGAGCGCGGAGGAGGGGCTGGATTGCCGGCTGCAGCCCCAGCTTGATAAAGGGAAAACCTCACTTTCCCTCTCACTGATTTTGATTTGATGTGTCACCGGTGGTGACCTCGAGTTGGACCTTCCGGGGCTTGCTTAGCATTGGGCCCCTGATTGGAGTGTTTCGACTCAGCGATCTAATTGAGGGTTCATGTCATAACACATCAAACGGTGTCTAGTCTCCCGTGATGGAAGGGACCCACTAACCGCGCATCCCCAGCTTCTGGCGAGGACTTCCGCCCCTCTCGTGCGCGGGGGAAGGGGGGTCTTAACGTGCCAAACTCCTCAGCATCCCCTCCCCCAACCCCTGAGTGGGCAGGCAAAAAGAAAAGGGACAGCCAGGAGCTGAGCCTGTCGTGCTAAGTTGGCGCCTTGCCTAGGGGAGGTTTAAATCGCCACAGAGTGGTAGGCTGGGATCTGAGGAGCCAGGGTCCCGCTAGGGGAGGAGCTTCGAAGCCGGTTCACTAATCTCGCAGAGAATTGGTTAAAGTTCTTGCTTACCTAGGAATTTGAAAGTTATACCTGAAGCTGGTGCTTGAGAACGAGAGGGCAGTAATAAGCCGAATGAGTGAAGAGAGCGGTGGCTCCACAGAGACACCGCTGGCCTTCTATTCTGTCCAGACTGCTGCTCCCTGACCCATCTGTCCTTACTGAAAGCTCTGAAAACTCCCTGGAAGGGTAAATAACAGTAGCCAAGACGGATTGACCTTTTACTGTGGGCCAAGTACTGTGCTAAAAGCTATGACATGAATGGGCTCGTTTAATTCTTGGCTACCGTTGCTGCATTGCTTTAGAGCTGGATTAGGGAAGACAGAGAAATTAAGTTGCTCAAGGCCACACTACTGAGAGGTGGGTCTGGTGGGAGAATCTCGACACTGAAGGACAATCCAGGACACTGTATGTGTGGATAGGGTAAGGACAAGGTCTCTAAGAACTGTGGTGGGATACAGAAGTAAAATAACAAATAAAGAAAAGTGAGATCTTCTTTTTGGCTTGATGTTCTTCTGTGGTACTTACAGACCCAGTCAGTGGTTCTCATGAAACACTGGATGCAACTGTCTGAATATGTTTTGTGCCCGGCTTCCTCTTGTATTTAGTTAGCAGAGATAAAAACTACTTTATGGATGCTCTTTTCATATGTTGCACCTCAAAAGTTATTTTTCATAAGTAGAGTTAAGAAATTGTGTTTGTGTGTTGGTGGGGAGCTGAGACTGTAGGGTCAGGATGGACCAGGTTGGAGTTCAGGGGCTCTGAACTCCCTGTCCTGGGGTCTGGGCAAGGCGGACAATTAGGCTGGAAGGTAGAGAAAAGCCGAGACTAGAGAAGAGACAGAAGAGAAGAGCAGAGAGAGCCTGACTCGCAGTTTATGTGGTAAGTGCCAAATAATTTTTAAAAAAAAAAAGCTCTTAAGGATTCAAAGATGAGGGAAAGGAGCAACTTGAGTCTAAGATTGCTTCAGTGGATTAGATTTCCCTGAGACTTTGAAGTAAGAACAGTTGCTGTTGTTGTTGTGTGCCTGCTTACAGAAAGAAGACAGCAAAGAACAGATAACAAAGAGGAGAGGGAAGCGTCCTGAGGAGCTGGGTACCAGTAGAGAGGCGAGTCCTGGAGAGTCTGCTGTGGGCTGCTTAGTTGGTCTCTTTATCTTCAGCTCAGAGATTACAGGGAGGCAGGAGTATGCCAGGGGCGCAGGCTTTGGAGAGAGGAGGGCATTCTCGAGCTTCGTCGTTTCCTGCTATTGAAGTTTGCCCGCTACGTCGTGTTTACGCAGAGCAGTGGGTTTCTGCATGGAGAGATCAACGCAGCAGCGTCGTGTTTACGCAGAGCAGTGGGTTTCTGCATGGAGAGGTCAACGCAGCAGCGCTAGCACTTTTGCCTGGACCCTGTTGTCATTGGCAAACGGAAAATGAAATATAAGCAGGGAAGTATTTTAATGGGGTCGGAGGGAATTCGCAACTGTTAATTATTTGGTGACCTTGTATTCGATTTGTTTGAGTCCCTTATAAAAACACTAATTCATACCAGACGGCCAAGTGAGGAAGCTGGGCAGAAGGTTCCAATCTAGGCTTTATTTCCCCGGAAAGAGAGAACAGCCTTGGAAGGGGCTTGCTAAGCATGTAAGTGTGTGCGTGTCCGTGTGTGTATGTGTGAGGGGCACAGGCAGAGTGCTGGGTACAGAGCTAGCTTTGTGGTTCAGGCTGGGCTAGCCCGAAGGTCCTGGGGAAGAGACCCGGGGAGATCAAGGAAGTCTGAAATCCCAAAGTGGGTCCCACTCTCCTGCTTGGAATGATTCAGGTATATTTAAGAGCAGCCCAATCCCCCAAACCCATAAGCTTGTAGCTCAACACCAGTTACTGTCCTTGGGTCCTTAAAAGCGACAAAAAGAAAAGGCAAGATGCTAAAAAAGACCTAGAATATTGTGCAGTCAGAGTGCAGGGTGCAGGAGGATTCTGAGCCAGAAAGGCTTATCTGAGAACATCAAAGGCTACCCTCTTCTCTGGAGACTCTGGCGCTTTTGGGCTTTTGCCCAGGGTGCAGTCGCTGGTGGGGGATGGGGAAGAAAAAATGTGCTCAAACACCTCCTTCGTTTCTGCACATTAAGAAAAACAAAATTTATCTGAGCCATGTACCCTTTAGGTTTTGTGAATTCTTCCTTTCCTAAATGAATCAGGACCCAAACCATTCTGACCAGGAGTACCAGTGTCCCTGAGTCCTCTGGGAGCAGGGAATTCAGGTCTTGCATGGAAAGGAACTTTATTGCAATCTGTTTCCCCCTGTAGTGCCATAGCACACCTCTTCCATGTCAGACATCTTCCGGGGGGGCCGTGTGTTTGTGGGGGCGATGATAGAAATGTGGCAGATAGAGGAAGCTTTGCTTTCTGACAGACTTGCGCTTTCATCAACCAATCTTGAGGGATTCAAC